ACCCAAGGAAAAGCCTGTGTTATTCTGAGCACCTTTGTCAGCACGTATGTCTGGAAATCTACATCTACACTCAAAGAATTCTTTCCAAAAATCTCTGTTCTGTTCAATTTATATTTCAATTCTTACTTTTAGTTTTGAAAGATTCTCAAAACAAGCACAAAAGGTGCCAAAATTACACAAAGGAATATTGTAAATGGTGGATATAGGAGCGGTACGGCTGGAAGCCACAGTACAATTTCTTTTTTGGGGCAGTATCAGCCAGGGTTGAGGACTTGGCTGACCTCGGTGTTGCTGCTTGAGCACTGGCACAGACTCATATTTGGAATCAAGCTCATCTCATGTCCACACTGCACGGCCCCGTATGCTCCGACATGGATAGAGCCGTGCTCCAGAGCTGTTCTCTGTGTCTGCACAGCACAGCAGATAACTCAGGTTGGCCAGCACTGGCTTAAATTGAAGAAAATCCCACTGCTGATAAAACCTCTGCTGATAATAACCTCTTAATTATCTTCAAACCCATTGAAAGAGCTCATTCTCCACCAGAGATGACCTGCTATTCTACTGCACTGCACTTGCCAAGTAGCTTTGGGTTTCGTTTGCTTAACGAGCGATTGAAATCTTCCTCTGCTGAGTGAATATCAGAGATCTCACAGCTGCCCTGATGTGTTAAAGCCTTGAAGAGGTGGCTTTGAAAATCCTCGTGCCTGCGGAACCAAACCCTCCTGCCTCATCTGCACAGAACTTTGATTTTACTAATGGCATCAGAAATGCATTTTTCTCTTTTTTGTCACAAAAAGGAACGCTGCAAGAGGACGAGTAAGATTTAATATATAATCAGAATAAATGGTTTCTTTGGAGATCTCTCCATTAACAGACAGAATTTTTCTCCAAATTACAAACGGTGCTAATTATTTATTTCTTAATAGCTCCTTTTTTAGCTGGAAGAGGCCCAACAGTTCCTGTACCACAGGAACTCACAGTAAAACTGAAAGACTTGTTAAAAAACACAAGATTTTTCAGAATCAAACTCTTATCATTCACAATATTCATCATGTTGAGCTTTTCTAATTTTAATATAATTCCATGCAATGGAATAAAAGAGAGAAATCAGGAGAATTTGCTTCAAGTGTGTATTTCTGAAACAGCCCAGGCAGCCCTCACACCCCAGCCCTGTGCTCCAGGTCTAATGCTGCCACTAAAATGGGATTATTGGGAAATTTTGATGTCAGTTCTGGCTGATGTCTTGCAAACATTGTCAGGTGTGTGAGTTAGAGGGAGAAGTGACCTCAGTGACAAGGGAGAGTCATGGAGGACACACTCTCCTCCATCCACACACGCAGTAAGCAGCAGGCAGGCCTGCAAGCTCACTTGTACTGATATGAGAAGGCTCTAAGTGCCCTTCAAGAATGTTTTTTAACATAAAAAGGAGGCTGCCTCCACAATCTCTGTCTCTGCCTGACTCAACTTTATAAACTCTCCATAAATCACACCTGCAAACAGCCAGGAAGAGACTTCCCTGCCTACAGATCTAGGGAGGTTATCAGGAAAACACTTTTTTGCATCCACATCTAGTGACACAGACCTCTCCAAATTTCTCTCTCATAATTGTGGCACCTGGCATCATCGAATCATAAAATCATAGAATCACAGAATCATTTGGTTGGAAAAGAACTGAGATCATCGAGTCCAACCGTACCTGCCCACTACTGAACCAGATCTCTGAGCACCTCATCTACCCATCTTTTAAACGCCTCCAGGGATAGGGACTCCACCCCCTCCCTGGGCAGCCTGTTCCAGTGCTTGAGAACCCTTTCAGCAAAGAAATTCTTCCTCACATCCCATCTCAACTGCCCTGGACACAACTGGAGCCCATTTCCTCTTGTCCTGTCCCTTGGGCCTTGGTTGAACAGACCCACCCCCACCTCTCTCCACCCTCCTCCAAGGGACTTGCACAGAGCCACAAGGTCTCCCCTCAGCCTCCTTTTCTCCAGGCTCAACACCCCCAGTTCCCTCAGCCACAAGGGAACTCAGCACACTTGTGCTCCAGACCCTTCCCCAGCTCCGTTCCCTTCTCTGGACACGCTCCAGCACCTCCATGTCCTTCTTGGAGAGAGGGGCCCAAAACTAGACACAGTATTCAAGGTGTGGCGTCACCAAAGCTGAGTACAGGGGAAGGATGACTCCCCTGGTCCTGCTGGCCACACTGTTTCTGATACAGCAACTAAGAGCTATTTAGGACAAAATTAATTTGGGGGTAAAGAACACACATCTGCCTAGTTTTGGGTTGTGCAGTTGTGATATCGTGGAAGAACAGGGTTGCTTCTTGTCTGTGTGTGTGGTAAGCAAGGCACAAGAGGCAGTTAGCAGGAGCAGTGTAGTCACTGACCTGGCGAGCACCTGCTGCTGGTCTGCTGGCAATGAAACCCCCTCAGCAGCCACGGCCACCTCTGCTCCAGCGCTCCCTCTGCTCACACCACCAGCGTCTTGGACAGTCCAAGGTGCTGCTGGGTCCTGTGGACAAGAGAAAACTAAAGGCTGCAGATATGAAAAGATGCAATGTGAGTAACTGGGATGGATGAAGCATGATGCTACTCAGGTTTATTTAGCCCAAGGGGGGTAAAGTAGCCTGAAAAGTACCTGGGCTGACGTTGGTTCTCCATCTGCTGCAGTAACAGTGTCCTCAGGCAAAGGTGTCTGGTCAGGAGTAGTTTTAGTCCTCATGGCAGCTGAAGATTAAAAGAGGAAATGCCCACAATGTAAGTACCAAGCTCTGCAAAACCAGAGCATAAATCTGTGAAAACATCACACAAAGTCTTCACCAAAAGCTGTGAACTATGTGTCTGGAGGGAAAACCTTATTTATGCTGGTCAGTAAAAGCCATCAAAGACCCAGAGGGACTATCAGGTAAGGAATGCAGATTTCACAGGGTTGGCAGAGCCCGAGTCCTTGTGTTTGCACACAAATAATCTATTTCAGAAGCCAGAAGGTGCACATTTATAATTACAGGGGGGGGAAATAAAGAATCTCTCACCTTAGAAAATGATAGCATCAAAAATGAAGAATATAGGTTCAAGAATTAATATTGGGCAATAAGTGCTGTACAAGCAGATTGCAAAACATGCTGTGAGGCACTGTGGAAGTTTAATTAAAAAAAAAAAAGCAGAAAAAAAGGTAGCTGGAAACAATTTATAGGTAGGTGAGAGGAATATCTGCCCTCCAGCAAAACGATGGTGTTGATAATTCACCAGGAGACCAAGGGCTGCGTCACATTTACATGCGACGGCAGAAACTGCAGCAGCCACGAGTTGTGCAAAGCCAACGGCATCAAAACAGAGCGGTGCCTGCAGCCATCTCTGCAGCTCAAACCTCTGCTCAGGAGAAACGCTGCAGCTCAAACCTCTGCTCAGGAGAAACGCTGCAGTCATCTCTGCAGCTCAAACCTCTGCTCAGGAGAAATGCTGCAGCTCAAACCTCTGCTCAGGAGAAACGCTGCAGTCACCTCTGCAGCTCAAACCTCTGCTCAGGAGAAACACTGCAGTCATCTCTGCAGCTCAAACCTCTGCTCAGGAGAAACACTGCAGTCATCTCAGCAGCTCAAACCTCTGCTCAGGAGAAACGCTGCAGCTCAAACCTCTGCTCAGGAGAAATACTGCGCTAAGTCAGAAAAAACTCACAGTAAAAATCATAATTCAGCACCTCAAGGTTTACAGGGTAGGGCCAGGCTGGTTCTGACAAGGAAAAGATGTCAAGGAAATAGGGAAGAGGACAAAGGTGGGACAGAGAGTCTCATGAGTGGCCCAGGAGAGCCAGTTCTCACTCCTGCTGCCGATAAGGGAGGGCTGAGAGCAGGGGCTGCCGCTGCTGCCAGGCTGCACTCGCTGCAGTTGCAGTCGCTGCCACTTTAAAGGTGACAGCAGCTGCTACAAATGTGACTTCTCAAAACCAGTTTGTGTCTACTGGTGCCTAAAGCATCAGGGAACCCTCAGCCTGCGCTGCACACCCTCCACCTGCCTCATCCACACCTGCTTCCTTCCTGAGGTTCTCCTCCAGAGCAGACAGCTTGAGATCATAGTGATTCCTCAGGTTACTGATGTCCTCTTCGAGGCGGGCACGGGACGCCTGCTCCGCTTCATAGTTGGCCTTTAGTTGGGCCAGTCTCAATTCGTCCTCCTGAAAGGCAGAGCAGCCAGCCTGACACAACAGCCTTGCTCCTCACCGTACACAAGGGCACAGAATCACAGGGTGGTGGGGTGGGAAGGGACCTCAGGAGATCATCCAGTCCAACCCCCTGCCAAAGCAGGTTCCCTAA